AGGAGCATGCTTTGTCATGTAAATTCTCCCGAACTGCCTATCTATTCTCAACTGGTTAACTAGTTCATCCATTTCCAAATTGATAGACATAGGTCTGTAACTTCTTGTCATATCAAATTGTGAAACTCGTTGGTAGCGGATTGTCTGTACAACTTGATCCACAATTTGTACCCTTTCTTGGTGCCCAAGCTTTTGCTGAAATTATCTCAATTTGCAACTCCTTATAGTTAACAGAACAAGAAACTATTATGAAGATTCCCCAATAAATCTTGAAATTGGTTCTCTTCTTGTTTTTGATTCCTTTGCATAATGATTATAAATATTTCTGAGGAATTTATCTTACACAAGATGAGTTACTAGGATATCCTTTTGTAGGTTGTTTTCCTAATGTCTTGTCGTATTAGTATTATAACTATGCAAGACAATATCCTTTGGAATATTGTCATGGAAAACTGGGAAAGTGACCTCAGTGGTGACAGAAATGCTGCAAAAGGGAAATTTGGTTGATGTTACAGTTAATCGAGCTTTTCCATGAAAGTAGGAAGATTTATCTGGAATGATCCTCATATAATTTTGCTTCCTATATTCTAATTTGTAGAAGAGATTCAAGTTCTTCCTGTTAATGCATAAAAACATTAATTTGAACAGAAGTGTAGCATGCTAGCAAAAGTAAGCAACAAGTTCTGTGATAATCTATAGAAAAAGGTCAATGTTGAGCTTGTGTGGCAACTATTCTCCTGAAAATATGAGTGATCTTTTAGGTGGTTTGGCTGCTCCCTGATAATTTCAAACTTATGAGCGGAGCACATTTAATCTTCTTCTTTGCCAGCTGAACTTTTCAAAAGATTGTTAATCAAAAGCTACAACGCTGATTAATTTCTCAGTTAGGGCTGGAAGGAACTTGTTAACAGGATTTAGATATCCTTTTATTTTCCCCTTCTGTAGGAGGGGTCCTGGGTTATAAAAATAGAATTCTTTTTCAGTTTCTGTATCTTGTATTAGGCCACCTCATAGGGCACTGGGCTGCTTGATTCTGTACAATTTCTTAATTTTTGTTTAGTAACACTAAAAATTGCTTGACTGTAAGAGTTGGTCCAGAATTTATCATAGAGTCTGTGGTGAAAGGGAATTTATTCTGTCCTTCATTATCAATTTTGAGATTCTCTATGATGTTTTAAGCAATCAAACATGATTGTTTGCACGACAAGGTAATCAGACAGGGCATTGTGAGTTTCCAGGAAATGAAAATTACAGAAACTGTTGATGATAACTCATGGGTGATCCTCACCTCAGTAGTGAAGTTGAGCAGAATGTGAAGTTTGAGGTGGTCTGTGGTCTTCTTCCCCTTGCTGCACCTCTTGACTAGAGTCATTTGGATTGACAAATTGAATTTGGTGGGCAATGGGCATCAGTAATTTTTAATTTTTATTAGGAGTCATTGTGTAAACGCCTTATAATTGTCCTACATGTATTACTTAAGTGGCTGTTGAAATGTGGTAGACAACAATTAATGTGCCATATGTGGTTTCGTGAAAACACTACTTCAGTTCAATATACAGAAGTGAAATCTCTACTTGGTTGGTTATTTCTGGAAAGCTTAGCAAGGCTCAAGCTTGTTTCTTGTCAACCACTGTAATTAGATTTAACTCTGCATAACTGTAATCATATGAAACTGGCTACAGTCGGGGATATCATGCCTACAACTCTGCAGAAATTAAAATGTAAGGGTCATATCGTTGAGAACTTAAGATATTTACAAGATAGCAAGTGTCTTGTGTCCTGAAGGAAAAGCATCAAACAAGCTGTTAATTAACTTTCTTGTTTATCTTTTGGAAAGGGTTCCTTACTGCTTTTCTACTTGTTATTGACCTTATCATATTTATTCTATCAGCAATTCAAATGTTAGCATTACTTATCCCTAATATTATCTGCAGTGTCTTGCTTAATTTATATACTGACAATATTTTGGATTCAGCTCTGTATCGTTTGTTTCTTTGGACAAAATTACATGGGTCTTCTCAATAGAAGAGGAATTATTATATGGTTGCTTCAACAAGAATAAAATTGATGCACCGTTTCATAGGTTGGAATTAGATTTACATGGTCTCTCTGTAGCTCCCTTGTTACTTAGGTTTCTTCCCTTAAAGCAGATAATTATCAAAACAACAATATTTACTGGTCTGCTTAACTTCAACGCTCAACATTAATCTTGAGAATACGTCAGTTTAATCAACTCCTGAATTAACTCTCTTAAGCCCCAAAAGTAATAGTAGTTAAACCACTTTTGTATTGTTGGTGTGTAAATTGTTCCTTAGTAGCAAGTCATGTACTCCCAATGAATTAACTTAGTAAAGTTAACGTTTTAGACCATCTTGGACGGTTACCTTTTCTTGCATGGAATGGTTTTTGGAAACTTAAATGTGTTTTTTCCTTCCCGAGGGTAAATTTGGTTTTGTGCTCTGGATGTGGTGTGTTTGCTACTCAGTAATCGATCTCCTGAGACCATTAACAACTTTGAGCATTCTTTTTGTAATCCAGGTGCACAGTTTGCCTTGCTGATTATCACAAGGAAGACACATTACGGATATTGCCCTCATGTGGACATTTTTTCCATGCCGCATGCATTGACATATGGCTGCATCAGCATTCCACATGTCCAGTTTGTCGCGTTTCTCTGCGCGAACTTACTGAGAGAAAACGTTTTATGCAACCTTTGTTCAGTTCAGCCATCAGAGCTCAGCATACCATCCAACCTGCAAATCTAAATACTCACCATTCGTCAAACAGCCATAGACTATCATCGACGCCACGTGAGAGCCAGAGGATGCAACCCAGCCAGGACGGGTGTCGTCATTCTGAGAGAGCTGGGGTAGAAGATAGACAAAGCAACCCCATCTTGAATGATGATCGTCAAATAACTAAAAAGTCAGGAAACAAAGAGATGGAGAGCCCATCAAATGCTTAGAATCCCTCCTCTGCTCCTTAACATCATTACTTCAATTTTCACGGAGTTACAGAGAGATTTTATTCAGCAAGTTTGCTTCAGCAGGCATGCGGATTGTGTGCCCAGGAAGTGGAACGATTTCCTTGTGGCCTTTTTCTTATCTTTTTGTGTATATAATAAGGTGTTGTATCTATTTTTTTTTTCCTTTTTCTTGTCTGTCTCTTTTTTAGCCCTTTGATAGAAGCTGTTTCACTCTGTTGGCTTAGGTATAGTTGGAGATGTTACTTCTGTAGTACAGTTGAGTTCCTGGTTTGCTCGATTAGCAATGTATATGTTTTGAAAGTATGTGTATGGCATTCTTGTGACAACCTGGACCATAGTTGGGCACAAAAGGAAGCAGAGTCCTTCGTTGGGCGTACTATTTTAGACATTCTTGCCTTTTGGTTTAGGAGGGATTTTACGGTGACTTCGTTAACGTCTGATAAGTTTGGTCTTGGGGACGTTACATTCTTTCTAAACCTGCATATCTAAAGCTTATAAAGCTTGGACGAGTATATTGGCAAAATATGGGATTCTGTGCCCATGCCACTCCCATCTTTGGAACGTTCTTACCTTCTTTGGAAATGCTAGCTTATCAAAAGTAAAAAGGGTTTAATCATGCTACACAAAAGCACGTGATAGAGCACCACTAAAGCAATCATAAATAAGAATCTACTGGTTTATTAAACCGAAATTTTATGAGAAGGCGGAATACTTTTTGAGAAATTTCATTTTGGACCGAATCAATTATTTTGACAAGTCTAGTGGTTGGTTTTTAGCTCGTATGGTGTTGCCAATTAGACAAATAAGGGTTCTATTATCTAATTTGAGTTGTATTTTATGTGAAATTAATTGGTTTCACCATTTTTTTTTAATTATTATTAGTCATGAGCAGTCAAAAATCAATTATTGAGTTAGCTAAATAGTTGATCCGAACAGAGATAATAATGTTGTACTAAAAATGCCCTTTAAAGTCAGTTTTTAAACTATTTAAGTTATCTCTTTTTTATCATCATGATCTTAAGTACAACGGTTCACATCCCTTTTACCACGACGTTAAATACAACAACTTCCTAAAGAAAAAAAGAAGCATTTATAGATTTTTGAAAAGAGCACTCGCACTCTAACATGCTTCTAGTTCTACATATAATAGTTGATTTGAAAAAATAACTAATTAATTATATAGTTTGGGAATATGTACACCCGTAGAGTGTGCCAAAAGCACTAGTTTCATAAAGACCGGACTTCGAATGCAGAAACGTAGGAGTTTCTGATGGGCCTCTGAAATCACATTTTTTGCCTTAGTCTTCAATTTGGTCTCGCCGCTAAGCCCCGGCTCTAATTTGATGGCCTCTTGCACAGAGGCCCATTGCTCATCGGGATAGCCAGGTCGCTGGCTCTGGAGTTGTCGTCCTTACTCGCAATTAATACAAGCACATTTTTTGTCATGTTGGCCATGAATTTCGAATTGAATAGGATTTGTCCCTGGACATGGCATCTTCATCTGGTCCATTGACATTGACTAGTGACTACTCCTTGCTGGTTCGACATTCGCTACAACAAATCAGAGAAAATGGGTGATTAAATGCAGTGGTCTCCACCGAAATAAAGAGCCGCACGGTAGTGGGCCGTGTTTCTTGCAAACTTGAAACCGATGTCACGTGCAGCATGACTGCTGTCTAGCCTGCTAATGTTTATTGAGCTGTTCGCAACCACGTCCACTAATTGCCACGTCGTCACGCAAATGCAACCCCCTAACTTCATGTTTCGGTAACTTAGTTGAGGAGGTTTGTCTAAGGGGCACTCAATGACGAGTGTTTCCTTTTTTTTTTTTTTGTAAGAGTACAGTTAAATTGAAAAAGCATTCAAATTAAATGTATTAATAAGTGTCTAATAAGAATAACAGAATTAATTTGGACGATAATGAATGTAAGTGTGTGCATCCACTTGCAGTTATTTTAAATATACTGCCGAGTATCCAATAAGAACCCGAGCATTAGTGACTAAGCAAACAAGATGGGATTAATTGAGCTCTAGTTATTTCCTTGTCCCGTAAGATGTGATTCCCCAATTAGGGTTCTCGTAACAAATTAGTTTTCAAATGTTACCCCTCCTACACCATTGGTTCGTGCTTCCATTTTTGGCACAAAGGTCAGAGAAAGTGATGGATCTTTGAACAAATTTAGACATCTGTGAAGTACGAGAACCGCTCTCCTCAACTCAACTCAAGTGCGTTGAATTGCAGTCCGTTCATTAATAGCTTGCCTTCAAAGTACGGTGACACACTTATTTGAGCCAGTGAGTTTGGGAGAGGACACTACTTTTGTCACCCAATAGCTTTTAAACGTGTTTGATCAATTTTTCCTCCGTATTCCAATCCAAGAAATAAGAAGATAGTAGATACTTTTGCTGCACAGCCCTCAACCGTTCAACTTCAATGGCATGCCAATTCCTCAAATTTTATGAAAACGATTAAAATTAACATAGAGAAGTTTATGTCAAACCCCTATCAATAGACTCCCAAAATAAATACAGTATTAAAAGATATATATATATATTTTTTTTAAAAAAAAAGGAGAAAGGAAAATCCAACTTTCAGCAGAAGTATGAAGAAATATATGTAGTAGTAGATAATTATATATCTATATAAACCCTAACATCTCATGGCAGAAAACCTCTCTTACATTAGATCCTTGGCTTGACGTGGGCTCTTAGAGTATTCTTCATCACCACTGTAAATTCCAATTTCTCACTAAAATCCACCTTACTGTCTTTCGGGTAAGCAGTCCACTCGAATTCTTGAACCATCCGGGCCAACATCAAATTGACATGCACCGTAGCCATGGCCAACCCGGGACAAATCCTCCGGCCAACTCCAAACGGCACCATCTTCACTCCGGTGACACCGGTTATGTCGGCATCGTCCCGACCGCTGAGGAATCGGTCCGGGTCAAACTTCGCTGGGTCGGACCACAATTTTGGATCCTCCGCGATGGTCGGCAAGAAAATTTCCACATTTGTATCTGTTGGAATGTCATACCCACCTAATTTGGCCGGCTCAATTACTGCATGGGTTAGGGAAAAGTACGTGGGAGGATGCTTACGTAACAACTCTTTAACGACGGCGTTTAAGTACGGCATGCGCTCCATGTCCTTCTCCTCAACCTTCCTATCACCGACTACACCTTTAATCTCTTTGTATAATTTTGTCTGAATATCAGGATTTTCGACCATCCTAGCTATGGCCCACTCAATTGCCGTCCCGGTAGTGTCGGTTCCGCCATTCAAGAACTCGGAGCAAAGTGTGACGAGCTCAGGATTAGAAGGAGCCGATTTTCTACCCTCAATTTTAAGATCAAATAATGTATCAAGGTAGGAAAATGAAGCTGCAGTTTTATCTGATCCTGGATTCTTAATAGCATTTCTCCTCTTTTCAATGAATGGGACGAGTAGCTCAATTTGCTCTCTTCTGACCTCTTGAACTCTTTTTCTTTGCTTGGAGAAAAATGGGCTTAGAAGTGGGAGATAATCGTCTAACCTTGGATCAAGAACAAGCAACACAGTCTTCATCATCTGATCGATCGTATCAATCATCTTTTCGTCCATTTCAATCCCAAAACACATAGATAATAGTATGCAGAAGACCGCGAATCGGGCATTTTTCAGCACCCAAACAGCACCGTCGGTGGCTTCAGCCTCGGATTTAATTCTTTCAATCAGTTTATCCATTGCGCTATCTCTTGCATCCTTGAACCCCTTAAGCCGCGTTGCACTCAACATATTCTGGACCATGTTTCGCCGCAGGGATCGCCAAACAGGGCCGTAAAGGGCAGCATTGACCGTGAATTTGTTGCAGCTGAAGATGGTCCTGGTAGGATTCTCTCGAGGCCGGCTAGAAAAGATTTGACCCTTTTCGATGAGTGCTTCGTATACCAAGTCAGCACTGGTGATGATTATCATGGTTCTAGTGCCCATCTTGAGAGTGAAAATTGGACCGTATTTAGGCAAAAGATCTCTCACGTACTGAAAAAAAGGTTTCCCTGATCGAGCAACTTGGAAGAGGTTGCCAACCACAGGCCATCCAGGCGGTCCTGGAGGCAAATTCAACCTTTTGGATTTTGATTTGCTTGATAACAAGAAAACCAGGCCCGATAAAAAGAAAGCTAGTGCTGTGAAAATGGTGTTATAGTAAGGTGAAAGTGATGAGGATGATAGGGGGGGATCCATTTCGGGGACAGGAGAAAGCTTAAAGGTTATTCAACGAAAATCCACTGGTGTTTGAAAGAGAAGAATGAGGGAAGTTGGAAGACATAAAGGGGTATAAGAATGTAGGAGAGCTGGAAATTACAGGTGAAGTCAATTATTGTAGCCATTGAAATTTAAAAAAACTGTGGGTGTTTTTAATGCTGTTAGTACAAAATACACCATTGCCAGAGCCATATATGGCAATGGCATTATGGCACTGGAAAACTAGAATTGGATGACAAGTTGACAACAGGTGAAATCAGGAATGGCAAGTGAGTGAAAAAGGAGACGGTGGGCAATCATGCAGGGGCCGGGACAGTTGAGTGTCTCAGTCAAGTCAACTACTCGTTTTTCCCCCCATTAAATTCTAACTGGAAAAGTTAGAGAAAACATGACTTGCATAGTTGCCTCCTGACTCTTTGAACTATAAAAGACAACAGCAACATTAATCCTGTCCATAGATACAACGTTGAAAACATCGCGCGGGGCGGGGCCTAATCACGTTGAGTATTGATTCGCATTCATTGCGATATGTTAGAAAAAGTAGTTAGGAGTTGTTTAGTGGTTCGGAGTGCTTAAATAAATGACACATTAGTAGTAATTCCAGATTTTCCACCGCAAAAGCAAACTAATAAGAAGTTTGAAATTTTCGTTCTAATAATAGTAGGAAGTGTACCTTTTTTGATTTGATTGAATCGGCAACATTTACATTACTCTAAAGATTTGGAAGAGATACACACACTCTGGATTGGATTTAATTGCATGTGTAAAGGTTTGAACCTTGAATTTTCATTAAGAATGTAATTTATATACTTTACTTGATGACCAATTCACTAAGAAATAATAGCAGAATAATTTGAAGTTCATTCTTTAATTTTATGCCCAAAACAAAAAATAAGTAGGTCTAGTTTGCTTGTCAAATTTTAAACTTCTTATGCTAAATTATTGTGGATAATAATTTTATAACTTTGCATTTTTTTAAAGTATTTATCCTATGACAGGACAATCGAGAGAAAGTTGTCAAACGTATTCGAGTATATTTGTTTTGAATGATTAAAATAGATCTCAGTTAGGGATTGAGTATCTATGCAGTTAGTTATCAGACAAATTCATGATCTGGATATGTTTAATCTGAATTTGAATGAATGAAATTGTGGGATTTAAGGAATCACAAGATTTGTTATATATATATATATTATTGCATAAATATCTAAATTTATTGTGTTAGTATTTATATTTTGTGTGTTGATGTATATAGTGTGTGGTGCAATTGAAACTGTCAATTATGAAAGCCCCGAATCCATCAAGTAGGAAAAAATGACTGTTGTCAAAAGATTGAAACCAACAGCTCTTGGGCTCTTGACCACCACAAAACCTTGAGGTCAAGATTTTATCCCTATCTCTTGTCATTTGCTATTAATATATGACTTCTTCAAATTTAAATGGGTGCACGGTACATCATTGTGATTTAATGATGGTTAATTTCCTTGATTTAGTTGGACCCTCCCCTTAGATGAATTATCGGCTCTCCCGACCTAATTGGGCCCTTCACTTAAATAGATTAGTGTAGAAGGAGGAATTACAGTGGTGTAGGAATTGTCGATTAACAAAAAAAAAAAAAAAATTGTGCTAATAGATGTCGTCACGAGGAAGGACGATAAGCGGTAAAAAAATTACTGAAGAAACAAGGGATGGATGTGCCTCTCACCGTCCAATGGACCAGAAGGTCGAGAAAACAGGAGGATTAGTAAGGGACTTGGGGCAGGAGTAAATGAGAAAAGGAGCAACTGAAGTTGGTAGCCAGTAAACGCTGGTGGAATAAAATTGCGGCCATTAAATTCGAGTTGTACTTGTAAATGTGATAGCTGCATCACCATGGCTCCACGACGACGTTGTTAAAGAATGAAGGTGTTTCCCATTTCTCCTTTTCTTTGAAACAAGAATAAAAGCTTTCAATTGACTGCACAATTCCCAATAAATCAATTTGAACCGGACGAAACTCAACCTGCGACAGTACTCCGATCTGCTTGTTGGACTGCACTTACTGTTGCTATCCGTTTTCCCGCATGCAGCAAAGGTGTCCGAAGCCAACCAAGAGGCATAAATGTAGCATGTTACCGAAAAGCCATTCCTTGTGTCACGGGCTGCTTGTTTTTCCTACAAACCGCCATCCCGTGCGGCACTAACGTACGTTCAAGTCTTAAGCCATGAACGCCTAGCTAGTTCACCTTTAACATTCAATGCGCAGTTTAAAGTGCGGAAGCGCAAAAGTAGAACGTAAAAATATGTTGGTGTGACAAAGGAAAGCTTATATTACACACAAAACTTCTTTACAGGTTGCCAACCATTTCCCATACAAAGGGCTTGACCTACTTATAGGCAAGCCCAAAATACTACATGATCCTGAAATTCTCTACACAAGTCTAAATCTTATCTACATGGTCAAAACTTATCCACAAGGTTCATGCTTATCTTCAAGGTGCATGCTATCCATAAGGTTCATGAGTATTCCACAAGGTTCTAGAATCTTCTCCACAATTCTAGCATCTTGTGGAATAACCCTAGCCAACTAGGCACAGTCGCGCGCGACCATGTGCGGATGGGCAAAGTCACGTGTGCGGGAGCACGCACAAGCACAGTCGTGCGCGCGACTAGGCACGAGCGCGCGTGGATGCCCGTGCGGAAAGGCACGGCCGCACACAACTTAGGCGCAGCCCGTGTCACTAGGATAGGCGGAATTCTGGTGTCCATTATTTTTCGAAAAGGTTATACAATATGCAAGCCATGTTACATCTTTCTCATGAGATGGTTACCAAGAACCATCTGGATTTTGGGCTTTCTCTATGAATTGTATTGCCGTCTTTATAGACGCTTTAATGTCTTTCTGTCGATACATTGGATATGAACGATTGAAACATACTAGAGCTTGAACAATAGAAGAAGTGCATTCGATCCATATATCTAACCATCACAAAAATGTATTTTGGTAGAGGAATGTCAACTAAAACTTGCAACCATCTTGTTACATGACATTGGTTTTTATCCAACAAGACAACTCAACATTGGTTTTTATTCAGTAAGACAACTCAACTTCTTGATACGTAAAAGTAGACTGTTGATTTCAATCTTCATACATGCAACATTAGAATTTAGAATCGAAGACTTATCAAGTAACACAAGCACAAAGTTGTTCAGCTCACTCTCGGCAAACCGAAAACAGAAGTGGCCGTTTCCATTTCGGCTTTGTAGAAGTAAGATTTGGTATTTGCTTGTAAATGTCCTCCAACTTGAAACCATCATGACCTTTCCCCTTCACCTCTGGCTTTGTTGCTTCTGCATTCTCCTGTAACTGCAGTGCAAACTCTAGTTTCTCAACGACTGTGTCCATTGATGGCCGTCTTGCTGCCTGAACTTGCAAACAGCTAAATGCAATTTTCAAATATTCAGCCAGACATGCTGTTGCAACTTCACCTTCCAGATAGTTTACTATCTGATGAAGTGTTTTGGTTCTAATGCTTCTTCTAACTGAGTCTCGAAGACTGTTTTTGCTCAATGACCTTCGGCAGCATAGTACTTCCAACAACACCAAACCAAATGAGTACACATCTGATTTTTCCGTTAAACATTGTACACCAAGGCTTATATCTTCAGGACACATATGATCCAGTGTCTCTGAGACCACCCCAGCTGCTGACTGCTTTGCCCAGGGATCGATGTGACCTATTTTAGACAGCCCAAAATTAGAAACTTTTGGGACGCAATTGATGTCCAGCAGAATGGTTGCTGGCCTGAGGTCCATATGAATTACTGTCTTCTGGGTACCATTGTGAAGGTAATCTAGAGCTTTTGCTACACCAATGCAAATTTGTAGTTTACACTTCCAGTTCAGTGGACCTTTTTCTCTACTCCTGTATAGATTGCTGGAGAGAGTTCTATTGCCAACGTAATCAAACACAAGGTACATCTCATTTTCATGGTAACAATACCCAAGCAAGGAAAGCAAATTGGGGTGTCTCAGTTGGGATAGCATCTCCATCTGTTCGCCGAATTTTAGAACTTCCTCTTCTTCTACCTTTTGCTTAAACCAGTAAATGCAAACTTCTCTTTGCATATTTTGCAGAAAACCTCGATGCACCTTCCTGAATGCATCTTGCATGATGACAGTACGATCACTGAAGTTGTCTGTTGCTGCTCGGATGTCATCAATTGGAAAATGATAGCAAGGTTCTTTTTTCTTTATTGGCTTCCCTATGTCCCAATGTGCATCCCCTGGAATGGTTGCCATTTCTGCCACAGAAACATTAGTACTCTCTTGCCTTTTCAGTGCATCTTCCAAGCTTACCACCACTTGAGCCATTGTAGGTCTTTCTTTGGGGTCGTTGTGCAAGCAATTTTGAATAGATTTCACAAAGATCTTTAAACTTTTTGGTGAAACTTTACCCTGAAGAAAACGATCAATAATCTCATCAATTTCTCCTTTGCTGATGCATTCTTGGAAGCAAGATAGAAGACTCCGTTGCTCCAGATTTTCTGTATCCATTGCTGGTCTCCCACATAAAACTACCAGCAAAACGATGCCAAAGGCAAATACATCGCTTTTCCTTGTCAGTTGATGGGTCCTAAAATAGTATGGATCCAAATAACCCAATGTGCCTTTTACTCGGGTGCTCACATAGCTCTTTGATTGGCTCGTCTTTTCGAGTTTGGACAGCCCGAAATCAGAAATCTTAGCTACAAAGTTCTCATCCAAGAGGATGTTTGTATCCTTTACATCTCGGTGTATGACCCCATATTCTGTTCCAGTGTGAAGATAGTCAAGTCCACGAGCAGCACCAATGCAGATTCTGAGCCTTTGTTCCCAACATAGAGGAACAAAAGCTGTCTTGTTTCTACGATTTTTATACAGGTTATCAGCAAGAGTTCCGCACGGCACGTACTCGTACACTAGGATCATCTTTTGGGATTCGTTACAGTAACCAATCAAAGAGACAAGATGTATGTGCCGGAGTTTGGAAAGTGTTCCAACTTCAGTCCAGAACTCATGAGCTCCTTGTTTGGATTTTGATTTCAACCGCTTTATGGCAACCACCTCAGAAGTCTCATGGATGACTCCTCTGTACACTTTACCAAATCCACCCTGTCCAATAACAAATGCCTCGTTAAAGTTTTGGGTTGCTGATTCGATCTCGGAGAGTGAAAAGCAACGGTAGGATGCTTCAGTTGTCGTCGTTTGTGTGTCCTTTCCCTGGTGAAATTCCTCTTTCCACATCTGCCTCAAGTTAAAGACGGCTATATTGACTAGAATAATGAGGATTGTCATACTACTAGTCACTGGGAAGTTGCCTTGGCCAAGAGCTAAGAAAACATATTGCTTTTTCAGGTTCCAAGAGGGCAAGACTCTTTCTGGAAATGTAGGGATTGGAGTTGCAAGGCTGTTTTCAAGGTTGCTCAACTTGAAGATCTCTACTCCATTGAGAAGTCCAAAAACAAACACATCAAATGACTCTAGGGAAATCAAGAGATCACAATTCCTTCCTTCTGTCTCTCCTTTCACCTTGACTAGATAATCCCTGTATGCTGGGATCGCAGCGCCACCACTCCATTCGATCACATTAGCCTTAGCCTCAGCTATATGATTGTTTATGACGACTCTGAATTCCCTTTGCTCGTTTGTTGACATCTCTGCTCCAAACTGGGAAAAATGAAGCCTGACCAAGTATCCAAAGCCTAAATCTGCCGGTATTCTCCATGTAAGCTTGTGCATCTTGTTTGCTCTTGCATCTCTTTCTATTTTCCAGGAGGTTTGGTAAAGTTTTGGTGGTGCAATGAACGCTGGCATGTTTGTGTATTTAATCCTCTTTGCCAAATGACTCACTTGGTGAACTCCAGCAGGTTCTAGCAAGTAATTAGCATCCTCACTCCATCTTCGAAACATGCCAAAATCCTCTATTGGTGAGATAGAGTTCCCGCCAATGTTCAACCTCTGAATCACTTCAAGTGCAGTGCTATTGTCGATGACATGGAATCGATTCATCAGATTAACAATGCGGGCACCCAAATCACCGTCAAGTGTGTGGTAAAGACCAGTCGGTATTGAAATTAACTCGATACCATTCACAAAAGCATATGTGTTTCTTGACTTGCTACTCAGAGAGGGGGAAAAAACGATGTTCAATTCCCTATTTTCTTCTACATTCACGCAGAATTCCTTTACAAGGTACTTGACACTTGAAGTATCAGCGGCATACGAAGCACTAAAGTCCCTTAGGAGGGTGAATGGACCAGCTTTAACAGTGAAAAAGTCCATAGACTTTTCAAAGCCTCGATAGGAAGCAGGGTAAAAATGGAGGCGAATAAATTTCTGACCTGGACTGACCTGAAATGTATAGTAGAATGGAGTGGCAGAGATTCTTGCTGTCGTGTAGGGAACTGGATCAACAGACAATGACGATTCTTGAAGTGCAGTTGAGCTTCTTGATTTGCCCCTTGGTTGCAGTGAAGGCATGAACTTCGAGGATGCTTCTCCAATCCATTCACGGCCGTCAAGTGCAGCTGAGTTGCCAACAGAGCCACAGTTTATAGCTACATCACCTATGTCATAGGTGGCAGTTGCTGGGGTTTTGTAACCGCCATTAACGAAAACTATAACATGATGATCACAAAAACTGAGCAAGATGTAGGAGTACAAGTATAAAGTAACCCCAAAAACTGGATTCAAGTACATGGGTTCAACTTCAAACAGGCTGGAGTTTCTTCCTTCTGTTCTTTTTGGCCGGGCAATTACTTGGCCAACAATATCTCAAATGCAGGTGGTGATTTGCAAGTAAACATAAAAGACGAGAGATTCAATTGGTTGACCTGAAAGCCAACATGAAAAATTTCTTGAATCAAGAACTAGCAAGAAAATTAGATGTGAGACAAATGAAGAGTGGAAAATTCAACGAAGGACCACAGAGAAGACAATGACAATGGCCAGAGAGTGGGTTCTGCTTAGAATTTGATTGAAACCTCGAAATTTCAAAGAAATGCCATAAAGAAGACAATGACAATGACCCACTAGTGAGCTCGCACTTTTTTTTTTTTTTTTAAAAAAAAGAAATAAAATAAAAAACAATGGGAAGTGGGTGACTTTTGCCAACGACGGAGTCATACGCGGTCTGCGTCAAAATTTGTGAAATTGATCGAACGAACCATACAAAAGAAGAAGAAGTATACAAAAGAAAAGCCAGTGAAATTACGTACTTTTTCATTAAATCACGAGAAACTGGAAGTTACTGATCTTCAGCAGCTCCAGAATAGGTCACGGTTGTTCACCTATAAGAACAATTTCCAAGAAATGAGAGCAGATTTTCCTTTTCTCATTTTTGCATTTCACATTAGAGGACATCGAGTTGTAAGGACCGTGTAGGACCAAAACCACATCTTCCCTTCACTTCTGGCACTTAATAGTCTTCGGTTTTAAGTTGGCAAATGTTCAAACTCTATCATTGAAAAAGTAACTTTTTAGGATCAATCCGGCAAGAAAAAACTTTGAGGGGTACAAACAAGCATCAAGAAATATCATACACATCAACAAACACGATAGCACAAAATTAGGCTCTGCTCCAAAAAAGAAAAAAAAAACACTCTACAACTGCCATCTATCTATAACAAAGGAAAATCTGGACTGAAACCCAAAGGACTTGACATTCAATGGTCTGTTTATTTATTTCTACAGCACCCTTTGGGAAAGTGGACTAAGAAAGAATGCTGTTGGAAAACTCCTAGTCATACGCCAGATATGGTGTGTCCTGGTAAATATCCTCCAAGTTGAAACGACTATCAAGACCTTGTCCCTTGTAATCTTGGAATCTTGTTTCTGCTTTCTCCTGTAGTTGCAGTGCAAACTTTAGCTTTTCAATGGCAAAACTCATCGAGGGCCTTTCTGCTTTCCGAACACGCAAGCAGTTAAAAGCAATCTTCAAGAATTCAGCTAAGCATGCTGATGCAATTTCCCATTCCACACTCGGGTCGATAATCTCATCCAGTGTCTTTGTTTTTATGTGATTTTTGACCCAATGTTTGAGATACCTTTCATCGTTTCCAACACAGAGATGGAAATCCTTTGTTTTTTGACAGCACAGAAGCTCCAGTAACACCAAACCGAATGAGTACACATCTGATTTTTCCGACGCTTGCAATCCGGAGGTTATTACTTCAGGAGACAAATACTCCAGCCACGGTAGTTCACTCTTCGAGGGGGCCTTCTCAAGATGAGCAACAGGGCTTAGTTTGGACAACCCGGAATTCAATATCTTAGGACGCAAATCCTCATTCAATAGGATATTTTCCAGCCTTACGTCGTGATGGACAATTGTGCTTCTGGTTCCTTTATGGAGGTAATCCAGTCCCTGCGCCACCCCAATGCCAATCTGGAGCCTGTTCTTCCACTGGAGATGATTAGTTGTTTTGCTGCCATACAGATAGCTTTGGAGGGTTGCAAAGCCAATGTGATCGTAGATAAGGAGGATCTGATCCTGAAGTTTATCGTGACAGTACCCAATCAAGGACAGCAAGTTTGGGTGCCTCAGTCGAGATAGCCTCTCAATCTCATGAGTGCAAACGTCTAAAACCTCCTTGTGACGTCTACCGATTGGAAGCTGGTATATGGAGAACGCGAGTTCTGGGTGCTGTTTCATATGTCCGATGTATACCTTCCTGAGTTCCCCATCTATGATAAAATGATGATGATCAACAGAGATGTCCATAGCTGCTTGGATATCCTTGAGCGAGAACCGAGGACCAGAGACATTGGGTAAAATGAAATGCGTTCTCTTCGTTTGCTTACCTATGTTCCAACCTGCTTTCCACAGCCAACCTTTTGATGGCCTTCGTATCAGAGAAGAGTCTTTTTTACTCGACTGCAAGTCTTTTCCATTTGATGTTGAGGCAGTTTTTTGAAGCGGTTTGCTGGTTGTGACCTCATTTGGACGAGAAATGACACTCTCCTCCAGTATTGGAGGTTCCTCATGCTGACTGAGTTGAAAAGACTCGGTAGCTCCCTTCTCAAAAAGCTGGCCCCCTGCTGTCTCAACCCCTGATACAGAAAACATCGGAGAAAAAATAGGGCTCTCCTGCTGCTCCAGTGCATACTCCAGGTTTGCCACCACTTGAGTCATTGATGGTCGTTTTTTGGGATTGTACTTCAAGCAGTTCTCAACACATTTAACAAATTCTTTAAGACTGTTTGATGGTATTTTCCCCTGTAGACTAGGATCAATTATCTTATCAAGCTCACCTCCTTCGATACATTCTCGGAAAAATGACAGAAGACTTCGATGTTCTTCTGGAGTTCCAGTGCTAATGGCACGTCTCCCAGACAAAACTACCAACAGCACAATACCAAAGGAGAATACATCGCTTTTTCTTGTTACCCTGTGAGTCGTACAGTAGTCAGGATCCAGATAACCAAGCGTGCCTTTAACATTTGTGCTAATATAGCTCTTTGATAGGGGAATGCTTTCAAGTCTTGATAGTCCCAAATCTGCAATCTTGGCTACAAAGTTCTCATCCAGCAGGATGTTTGAATCCTTTACATCCCGGTGTATGATTCCCTCTTCACTACTAGTGTGAAGGTATTCCAGTCCACGAGCAGCACCAATGCAGATTCTAAGCCTCTTCTTCCAATCAAGAGGTGCACGATCCTTCACCTTGTTGCCAACTTTATAGAGATTATCAGCAAGTGTGCCATGAACCATGTACTCGTACACAAGGATCATCTCTTGGGCCTCATTGCAATAGCCGATCAAAGAGACAAGATGAATGTGCCGGTGCTTGGACAGTATTTCTATTTCAGCCCAAAACTCTTGAGCTCCTTGCTTGGAGCTAGACTTAAACCTTTTTATGGCAACCAACTGTGAAATACCTTGAATGCACCCTTTATAAACTTTACCGAAGCCTCCCTTACCAATTATTAGTGCATCACTAAAGTTTTGGGTTGCTGACATGATTTCTGCAAGTGAGAAGCGAGTAAAAGATGGCTCAGTTGTGGCTGCTACTATATCTTTTCTTCTCTTATAAAGATGGAACTTCTCTTCCCAAATTTGCCGGAACCTATAGACTATTACATCGACTAAAATGATTACGATGGTCAGACCAGTCACAACATTATTGCTTCGGCCGAAAGCTAAGAACGTGCTATGAATCTTTAGGCTTGAAGCAGCAGAAACTCTTTTTGGAATTGCAGGATTTGGAGTTGCAAGACTGTTCTTAAGGTTGCTCAACTTGAACACCTCTACTCCATTAAGGAGTCCAAGGACTAACTCATCAGGTGACTGTAGGGAAATCAAGAGATCACACTTGCTGCCTTCTCTGTCTCCTTTCATTATCACCACGTAGTCCCTGTACACTGGAGTACCTGTGCCACCGCTCCATTTGATCACATCAGCTTGAGTTTCTGCCATCTGATCATTGATGAGGATAGTGAACTCGGATTGCTCTTTATCTGCCATCCCGGCATCAAGCACACAGAAATGAAACCTGACTAAATATCCAAAGCCCATATATATGGGCAACTTCCATGTAAAGTTGTACGTCTGGTCTACTTTCAACTTTCCTCCTGCTTTCCAGGATGTCTGGTAAAGTTTCAGTGGCGCAACGAATGGTGGCATGTTTGGGTGCTTAATACTAAGCACCGGATGGTTCATGCGATAAACTCTGGATTCTAGCAAGAAGTTACTGTCCTCATCCCATCTACGAAACATTCCAAAATCTTCTACTGATGAGATGAAGCTCCCTCCGATGTTCAACCTTTTTATCATTTCAAGCGCAGTGGTATTATCAACACTATAAAATCGGTTTTTCTGACCAACAATAGGAGCACCTAAATCGCCATCAGGAGTGTAATAAAGACCAGCTGCCATGGAAATGATCTCAATTCCATTTACAAAAGCATATGGGTTATCTTTTGACTCGGTAATAAAAGAGGGTGAAAACGATATACTCAATTTTTTGTTCTCTTCAACATTCAAACAAAATTCCTTGACAATAATATATTTTTCACCAGAACCATCAGCAGTAAGTGAAGGACTGAAGTCCTCAAGGAGGGTGAAAAGACCAGCTTTGACGCTAAACAAGTCAAAAGAATTTTCAAACCCACGATAGGAAGCGGGATAAAAATGCAGGCGGATGATCTTCTGACCTGGGCTGACTTGAAATGTGTAGTGGAATGGAGTTGCAGAGATTCTTGAAATCATGTATGGAATTGGGTCAGCATAGAATGATTTATCGAGTGCAGTTGAGGTTCTTGACTTGCCGGACAGGAATTGTGAGGCTGCTTCTCCAATCCATTCACGGCCATCAAGTGCGGCTGAGTTGCCAACAGAACCACAGTTGATAGCAATATCATCACCTACGTAATATGGAGCCGCTGGGCCTGGAGTACTATAGCCCTGAACAGAAGCTATAAAGCGATGGTGACTGAAGCCAAGTAGGATGTGTGAAGAAAAAGTGACGAGTAAAATTGGCTCAAGATACATAATAGCTTCGTAACTATTGATTCTGCTGAGCTGCTGGACACTGAAGGTTAGATATGTTCCCCTGGTTTCTTCTTCTTCTTCTTCTTCTGAATGATGATTTGGAAACGTGTAGTTAGTGTCTTGGGTGGTGAGTTTGCTATATTATGGACAGTAAAGAGGGACACTTGTTTTCCGTTGAGAGGAGAAAGAGCAAAACAAGCCCGGTCAAGATGAATCTGCCAATGCCATCTAAGACGCGTATTGGTTTCTGGTTTGCTACTCGACTTGACATCAAGAAAACAGACGTTTCTGACGAGTGAAAGGCAGGAAAATATAAAGAAAGGCCATGATGAATGGTATTGAGCTGACATTTGGTTCAATCTGAAAACGAGAATTTCTTGGAATGTCTTCTTGTACTAGTTGGATTAGGTGACTGGTATCGTATGCAGGGAAAGAAGGACTGCGTGGTTATAAGAATATTTTAAAGATTCCTCCAAATATATATGGTGAAAGGTTATCAGAGAGGTAGAAAAAGTTACACCACAAGCCTACTGAGGCGTAGAGGAGTTTGATTTGAAAAATCAAAATTTCTAGAAGCTCCATTGTATATTTGAGCGCAAAAATGCAAGCATGTATTCGGTCAGATTTAAACAAGAAGGTCAAACTTCAAAAATAATTTGACCTCTTCTGGTCATACGCCAGATATGGTAAATTTCCTCCAAGTTGAAACCACTATCAAGTCCTTGTCCCTTGAAATCTTGGAATCTTGCTTCTGCTTTCTCCGGTAGTCGCAGTGCAAACTTGAGGCTCTTTCATTTGTGAGACTTTTGCTTATCACTTGTGATTATGGAATTCTCTACTGAGAGGCTGTCAGAACTTGTTCCTTACTCTATGAATGAGCATATTGGATCCTTTTGGTAAATGGTTTGGTAAATCACCTTATATGGTTTTTACTTTAAGGTGCATGCTGGGTTGTATTGTTCATTTTGACGACTGCTGAAACGGCCCCTCAATTTCTGTGTCTCCTCTTGCTTTTGGTTGGCAATCACATATTGGTCTTATTTCCAGTATTCTCTATCCCATGGCCATGGTTCGAGCTTTGTTTGAAGGGACAAACTATGGTAAATAATGGTTCTGCGTAAAAAAAAAATGTGTAAACTATAGACTACTTTCGAATTATGGGGTGTGAAAGCTGGAGATTACGGGTAATAAGCACTAGAACTCGAAACCTGAGACACACACACACACACACACACACACATGCAGAAGCATCTCCATTGACATTTAAAAAAAAAAGAAGAAGGCAGCATCATCCCCATAACACCTAAATTTACTAGGACTGCGACCTAAAAAGTAATCAACAAACCACCATAACATCCTAAACTAAAATACCTGAACTTACAAGTAGCAGGTTCTAAAGAACTTGTTTCACATTACCTTTCACATAGCACTCGATATCAGGCAGCATGTCTAATGACTGCTAATGCAACGGAGGCAAAACGCTTGCTGGCTGGAAATTTCTGCACGAGCGAATTGACAACTCCTCTCACAGCACCGCCTTGAACCTCCAATGCTTTTGGAAAGCCAGTACAATAGCTGGCTTTACTGTCTTTTGATGTCCAAAATGCACGAAAAGACTGGGCACCAGATGGCAAATTAAAGCACTCCCTTGGATATCGTGTGAAAAGAAAGTTCCTCATGTCATTGGGCCTACCACCACATGAACCCTTTCATCCGTCCGAATTAACGTGCAAAAGGCAAAATGACTCGAATCAGTTGGTTCCTTAATAGAGACATACTCAAAAGGGGCAAAATGATATATTTTACTGCTATTGAATGAGATTTGATGATCTCAAGAGATGAAACCACCACCATCCCCTTCCCCTCGACAGAATACATGAAGCATACATAGCCTACATGCAACTGTGCTGCCATGCCACAACTCAAAGGTGATAGATAATAAATTCAAATTCACACATGGATTCCCATAAAAACCTATGCCCAATTTACTTACACACATGGTGGTTCGGCAATATTGATGTACACATAAAAGTCATCAATACTTCTGACAGTAATATGCCACTTAAGAGAGGTGATCGTTCTAGTTTTCCTTACATGTGTCTCAACAAAACCACACGGAAACACATAAGACAGCCTTGTAAGGTGTTGCATTTGACATCCTCTTTCTGTAGCCATTTCTGCATACAGTGAAAAATTTAGACAATATGAGAACCATCACATACTCCGGGCCTATAAACATGGTAGCGCAACATGGCAGCCTACTATTTGACTAGACTAAATAAATCAACATACCATCAACTGTTAACATACCGGAACTCGTGTGTGGATCTTGTAGTGCCTCATTCTGTTGTTCAACCTCCATCCAACTTTGAATACATGAATACAAATGTATGTTATCACAATTACGCATACTTACATCACATATGTATGTCTCAACTTTTCATTCATTCATAAACTCCAAAGGTCTTACAAAGTGTGCTATAAAAGAATTGATTCTATTTAAATGCAATTGACAAATTTTACATAGATGAGGAATGAAGCAACAGGAGCTAGGGGTGGGTAAAAAAATCCGAAAATCCGAAAAATCGAGAGATCCGATCCGATTCGCACCGAAAAATCGGATACCCGATCCGATTTCAATCAGCGGATCAGATAGGGTCGGGTACCCTAAATATTCGGATACGGATACGGATCGTGAAAGTGAAAACCCGCGGGTACCCGACCCGGGGGTATAATATATAAATATTAAAAATATAGGGGTAATTGTATAATATTTTAAGTTTTTAACCCTAAGTTCCTAAGCTAAATCAATCCATCAGTCATCCATTCAGAGTTTAGCCTCAGCTTCAGCCGACACTCTTCCGTCTTCACTCATTTCATTTTCTTCTTCTGCTTCTCGACCTCCTTTCTCCATCTCTTCAATTTTGTCAAGTTGAACTCAAGCCTGCAAGCCTCAGCCCTCAAGTAGATGATTCAACAGAGTGTTTCGATTTCGATTTCTCAAGCCTCAAGCAGAAGCTGTAAAACGCCGACCTTCTTTATCTGCAGGTTTGGACCTTCTTTAATTGATGGCTATCCAGCTCCTTCAGGTGATGGTGTATATTACGTGTAGGTTTGGACCTTATTAAAATTTTGGTTGGAGTGATTACAGTACACTACTCCTTGCTCGATGCTAGGAGGTAGGAAATTGTTGTTACAATACCTCTTTTGGTGGCTTTCTATATTCTTGGCACTTCCACTCCTTGTGTTAATACTGCTTTGACACAATACCTCTATTTAGGTCCTTGTTATGTGTTTGGCAATTCTCCAGCTTCTCTCAGCTCCTTACACAATCAATCTGTTTTGTTAATCATTTTGGTTACGCACTTCAGGCAGTTGCTTTTGGTTTTTGATAGGGTACTCCGTGACTCTGGCCTTCCTACTTAATACTACTGTGCCATAATACAGAGTGGTCAGGGGTTGAAGTACCATTCCCTAATGATGCAATTATCTTTTCTTTAATTTGTTTGTGTTTACTTTTGCTAGCTATCCAGTGATTGCAAAATGCAAAGCATACTACAGATATGTATGCGTATCAAACCCAAACGAGCTAGTATATAACCAGAGAATGAATAAGGTTTTCCTATTGGAATTGTGGAATTGGTTTAAAGCAATTTATAGATTGAAAATAGGGGCGGGTACCCTATGACCCGCCCCTATTTTTCGGGTATCCAAGGATCGGGTACCCGAGGGAGATCGGAGCGGATTAGGGTCAAAAAAATAGTGACCCGACATGTTAGGGTCGGGTCAGTCAATTACCATTCGGGGCGGGTACCCGACCCATGCCCACCCCTAACAGGAGCAACCAAATCCTGAGTTCAAGGAACAGTAAGAACAGACCTGTCAACTGGATCATGCAGTTCAATGTCTTCTTTTAAGTTGAAACCAGCTTCTGATAGCAGCACGGAGACCTCTTTAATAACTTTTTCCTTTTGCACCTGAAAATAAACACCATATAAGGCAGTGTAAATGTAACAAACCAGAGAAGATGCAAATCTTTTTGGTTCAAGGGGAAACCCTATGCCTTGCAAAGGGGAAGGGGAAAGGGAAGACGCAAATTCTAATGCACTCAAACATAACTCAAGCACAACAAGTGCAAATCATCAACCAAAAAATTAATTAAAAAAAAAGAATAAAAACTTCAAGAACCTACACAAAAACCAGTGCCAGTAGATGAGAATTTTACAGACATCTTAAAGCAAGCTAAACAAAACTAAAAGGATGAAATTAAAAAGCAAACCTACATTTCCTCTCTCTGACCAAAAGTATGTTTGAAAGGCAGCACCAGCCTTCTCAAAAATTTCTAGCAGCCCAAGAGCAGACATCATAACCAACTTCCTTTGTTTGCATAGCTTTTTCAGCTCTTCTTCTAGCTTTGTCTTTCTTCCAGTTAATCTGCACTCCAGATCAATTGCTTGGGCCAATTCACTATTGACGAACTGTAGAAATGTCATGGACCTATGAGATTTCTCGCCCCTAATCTGAAAGACAATTGGGCGCATGACCTTCTCCCTTGCCACCATTAGTATAATAGATAACTCAATCAGTTTACCCTCCTTGGCATAGCAGCAAGCAATCTCATTTATTTTCTCTGAGCTCTGTGCAAGTGAGCTAGCAATCCCCCAAGTTTCTTTCTGCCACAGGTGCAGTCAGTTTAACACAACTGATGCTAAAATTAGCTCTTTCTCAATACATTGGTAAAAAAGTAACATGTCAAAAGCAGAATTAGCAGAAGAACATACCATTTTCAGAAGGAAAAGCATCATAACCAACTTAAATATGGATTTAACACAACTGATGCTAAAATTAGCTCTTTCTCAATACATTGGTAAAAAAGTAACATGTCAAAAGCAGAATTAGCAGAAGAACATACCATTTTCAGAAGGAAAAGCATCATAACCAACTTAAATATGGATTCGCTTGGTTTCCATTGCCATACACTTGCAGCAGAACTAAGAAAAATGGGAAGAAAAAGTCAGACTGGACAAAATGCATGGATTCAAAAGAAAGCACAAGAAAGATCCACAGATGCACATGGCAAAGATACAAACCAGGGGATGGGAGGACAAGGACACAAAATCCGTGTAACATCCCATCTAAAAGAGCCAAGAATTTTTTTTAAGGCCCCCACCAGGGGGTTTTTTTTTGTGTTGGGGGGGGGGGGGTTGTCATAGTGTAGATTATATTCCAAGTGAGACTTAGCGCTAAGGACATACATATTTCCTACCTTAACTTTTCAATTACAGTGCGCATCGGAAGCAGCTTCTGATGCTCAGGATCAGTTTCATCCCACCCAAAATTAGGCTGTTAAAGATGGCAAGTTAAATTAGGTAAGCAATGAGATGGCAGAAAAAGCTGACAAATAATGAGGAGCCTATAACTACTTGGAGTACATGGATACATAAAATAATTTGCTCCAGGCAGGTATTCGCATCAGCAAATCAGAACAAGAGCTTTTTGTTGATAAATTACAAGACTGAGCACAGGCCTAAACAAATAGATGACAGAGCAACCACCATTGCATTCAGAAGTAGACATTGGAAAAGCATCTAACACAACTTGATGACCATCACCTAGATGTCTAAAGAACCTAGATTTTGTCTAATATAAAGTTTATATACCAAAAACTGAGTTGTAATTCTAAAATGGGAAAGCTCCCAGTTGATCAAAGCCATCAACACATTTTGCAATAAAAGACAAATCTACCGGAAATACACACATATTGGAAGTTAAATTGAGTTCTTGTAAAACAACCACATATAATGCTTCAAAGCCATGTTGCATGGACTCAGGCGAGGTGCTCAGATGACTCAAATTCATCCTATGTGATGTATGTGTGCATCCGCATATGTGTGTCCAACTCATGCACATAGAGTTGTATAAACAACAATAAAAACTTTGAACCCTCCCCCCTGATTTTCTCTTGGGTTCATTCCACCCGTGTCACCACCAACAGAGCTACTGTCCAGGAGAAGAGTCCACCATTCATAGTAAAAGAGAAGAAGAGACCACCATTCATGGTAAAAGAGAAGAGAAAGGAACACCACACATAATTTGTAATCCAAACTCTCCATCCTACCTTGGTATGATATGAAAACAGAACAATATTTGACAGGACAAGCTCATTGACCATATAAATGAAGCCCAAAATGTTGATTAATGAAATCACAAAATCTAATTAACTTTTAAAGACAAACTTGAAGTGATGTTTTTCAGCTCATAAAACAGAGGCTTACTGATACTTTTCGCCTCTTGACATGTTCAAATGCCAAAAAGCAAACCTAAATGTAATAGGAAATAACCATTCAAAGCAAACATCTAGAACAGACTTCTTGTCAGTAAGCCACAAGAACAGATGTTCCCATGAGAACAGTTCATAAGTTACAATACCATTGTCTCAAAGGAATCTAGCTCTGGTATGCCAGACTGGGAATAACTATGGAGTCCAGGTAGGCTCTCCTCTGCATGGCTGGAAGCAGACATTGAAAATAATCTGTTAACGAATTGAAAAACAAGCAACATCAATTTATAAAAGAGGATCAGGCAAAAAACCTGAAATAGGTTGCACTCTATCTGCAGGTAGATCCAACTTAACTTTTATGACCACGAAAGAAACCAAGAAACACAATTCAAGTGTCAGTATTGCTGATCAAGATGAAGCACCATCTAATAATCAGAAAAGAAAGATAGAAACTAAGGAAAACGAAATGACGAAGAGTTAAGAGTTCAGGGCATGAAATTGGCGTACAGCTTGACTTCAAAAGATAGGAAGTCTCTTGGCTGCTCAATTTAAAGTCTGAACATTCAAACACACGTCCAATAGCATCAGCTGTTGAGGGATACTGCAGTCATCAGAATTGGTGCAAAAAGAAAATTAAGGACTTTCTGTTGGTCAGTAATGGAGAAAAATGCTGAGATAGTGAACTGATTACGCAATAAAACATCAACAAACCAGAAGCCCAACAAAAGCATAGATCAGACAGCAGCACCAAAACGTCTAGTTTAGACTAAAAGGGAAAGACTAGCTTATTGCTAAGGAATGGAAAGAGATATATCCATCAAATATGATGCATCGGGAGGGTATCAGCCATTACATAAAATATATTAAATTTTTTTTCTTTTTTCCAGAAAAAAAATTAAAAAAGTTAATTAATCGTCAGGGAAGTTGAACTTAAGTCTTCAAAGATTGGCCTACCTCTTTATACTTGCTACATCCCTCTTGAGACGATTACAAGACTAAGGACTAATCCCTCTTCTCGTTGTTTTCCTTTAAAGGATCATAAATTATGCACAAAGATCCTATCTTTTGTTTCAGGCATTCGTACTGTATGCAATTATACATGTGTATATCTGTCCAGGAGATGCAAAACAGATGGAGAGAACCCTAAAGGGTAAACAGCAATCGGGAAGATACTATTCCCCAAAGAACACTTCAAAATCGCAGAATGAAATTAGGTAAGCTAAATTCTTCAATTATCCAAAGGACACGACTTTGTTTTTCAATGGTAGCCAAGCACGTTGAGCTCAAACACAACTGTACAAGCTAAGGATACAACTTTGTTTTCCACGGGAAGCCAAACAGTCATGTTCCAGCACAACTTTACAAGCTAAACACCATTTCGCACCAAGCTAAACAGAACTAGTAGCAACACTTACTTTAGCCATCGCCGCTTAAACGGAGTGCAGGGAAAATTCAACAGCGACCGTGAAAAGGTGGGCTGGTCTCGGCGTTAACCTGAGCTCCACTTCACAAATAACTAGTTTGGGAGATGAGATTTGAGCCGAAAAAAAAAAAGGAGGGAAGAGGAACCTTCTTTTAAAGGAAGGTGCGTGGCACGGCGGTTCAGTTTTCTCCGAATTACTTTTAGACTTTCTTAAATTTTTAGCACATGATAGATTAGGTTACAAAATAATTATTGTCTTAAAAAAAAAACGAAGAAGCGAAACCTCCTTTCCTATTTCTTTTCTTTTATTTTGGCTAAAAGTATTTTGTAGTAATAATCAATTAGTCATACCTTACCCACTTATTTTTTTTTCTTTATTTTTTTGTAATTTGGATCAAAAATTATTTTGTAGCAATAGGCTAATAGGCAAGCCGACGCATGGTATGAATTATTTCTACCACAATACTGGTTATCCAGCCCTTTACCCGTTTCTTGAATGGGATTATGTATAGCTTGTTATGTTAAATTGGGAAATCACAAATCACATTGTGCGTGAAGAAAACAAATATTACACTATTAATAAATTTGAATTTCCATAATGTAATAGCTTGAAATTCAAAGCACACTATAAAATTCTGAGCATGTGAAAATGTGCTCATTGAAGATGAGCCAGAAGGAGGGGAATTAATTCCAAATTGAATCTCAAGAACATTTTTGATAAACTGTAAAGTTAACTTGTCCCAAAAAGAAAAAAAAAATTTTGTGTATAAAAATAATTAAATAGAAGAACATACTCGTACATGTGGTAGTGATTGGTTTTAAAAATGCTGTAGCCTTTTGAGTAATATGTTAAGATTAAATTTTCCAAACTTTTGTAAGTAAAAATAAATTACTAAGCCAAATTGTACATTGAAATGGAAACATTGAAGGTATAGTACTATAGTGCCCCGGCAATAGCAATTTTTTTCAAAAAAAGGGACAATTGCTTATGAATTAAAAAGCAAACTTTCATACATTTAATTAAAGCAGTACAGAACATAGGAAGGAAGTTTAGAAGATTAGAGAAAACTAAAACAAGAAACACACTTGAAAAAAAAAAAAAGAGACCAATGGGTGAAAGGAAAATATATATTATTCTTCTAAAAAATAACAGAAAAATATTATATTGTACATATTAATCATGGCTCTAATTGGTAATCTGTGACGCTAAAAGGGAAAATCTACAACAATCGGCTGGGCATCAACAACTAACAACTTACTACATGAAATTGCCCCTCAATCTAGAATTTGCAAAGCTTGAGTGAAGTGATGGTGGCTTAAACACTTCAATTGTCCGCAAGATTTGATATTGATATGTCATGGTAAATATCCTCCAGATTGAAACCATCTGCACAGCCTTTTCCCTTAAAATCTTGCTTCATAGCTTCTGCTTGCTCTTGCAACTTCAATGCGGACTCTAATTTCTTGATAACATCATCCATCGATGGCCGTTCAGTTTCGCAGACCAGCAAGCAGCTAAAAGCAACCCTCAGAAATTCAGCTAAACATGCTGCTGCAATTTCCCTTTTGGAATTGAAGTCAAGAATCTGATGAAGCTTCTTGGTTTTGATGTTATTTTTGACCCAATGTTTAAGGTACCTGTCATCGTTATCGTGATCTAGCTCAGAATCTATTGGTCTTCGACAACATAGAACTTCCAGCAACAACAACCCAAATGAGCACACATCAGATTTTTCAAATGATTGTGAATCAGTGGTCTTGGTGTCAGGAGACAAATACTCCCCGCCCGTTGCTTGAGCTTTGGTTGAGGGCTTAGCAAGCTGATGCACATGGCTTACTTTGTACAAGCCGATTAGAGAAATCTTTGGATTCCCGTCCCCGTCCAAGAGTATGTTTGCCGCCCTCAAGTCGTGATGGATAGTAGCTTGCCCCAGACTCCTATGCAGGTGACCTAGCCCTTGTGCTACACCGAGGCAAATGCGGAGTTTGCACTTCCATGGAAGAACATTTCTGGTTCCATAGAGATGTTTGTCGAGGCTGATGGAGCCAATATGATCATAGACGATGAATATCTTATTCTCATCTTCATGGTAACAATACCCAATCAAAGACAGCAAGTTGGGGTGTCTCAATCGTGATAGTCTCTCAATCTCACGGCATAGTTCTAAAACCTGCCCACCAAATATTTCAAAATGAGACTGGTAAATGGAAACTGTCATCTTTAGTTGCTGGATAAATCCTATGCAAAATTTCCATGATCCATTATTTGTGATAGCAAAGCCATCAACGAGATTGTCAGTGGCTGCTCGGATGTCTTCAATTGAAAAGCGAGGACCAGAATCACTTGGTGGAACCAAATCATTTGGTGAGACTAATTCTGTTGTTTTCATTGCCTTCCCTCTATGCCGAGCTGCTTTCCATGGCCACCCACTCCAAGTTGGTTTTCCTCTAACTGGAAAGGCAAGATTCTGGCTGTGCTTACTTTTAGTTTCTTCATTTGGAGGAGCCATGGCACTCAACTCATCTATTTGGGCTACCTTACTCTGATTACGCTCCTCATCTGTATGAGCCACCTCGCTCTTGACAAACTTTAGTGACTCGGGAGTTCCAATCTGCGAAGACTGGCCAACTAAAGGAGCTGAATTTCTTAAAGAAAATATGGTGCTATCCTGCTGCTCCAATGCAGACTCGAGGTTTGCAACCACTTGAGCCATTGTAGGTCGTTTCTTGGGCTGATGCTGCAGGCAGTTTTCCACAGATTTCACAAATTCTCTTAAGCTATTGGATGGTATTTTCCCCCGTAAACTTGTGTCAACAATCCTATCAACTTCCCCTTCTGCAATGCATTCTCTGAAGCATGATAGCAAACTCCGTGGTTCCTCTGGATTTCTGGAGTCCACTGCTGGTCTCCCGCTTAAAGCAACCAACATCACAATGCCGAAGGCATAGACATCTGTTTTTCTAGTCAAATTTTGAGTCATGAAATAATCTGGATCCAAGTAACCAAAAGTTCCTTTTATTTTTGTGCTAACGTAGCTCCTTGATTGGGTAAACTTTTCCAATTTGGATAGACCAAAGTCTGAAATCTTGGCCACGAGATTCTCATCCAACAGGATGTTTGTGTCCTTGACATCACGGTGTATGACTCCATATTCAGAGCCCGTGTGAAGATAGTCAAGTCCACGAGCAGCACCAATGCAGATTCTAAGCCTTTGCTCCCATCGGAGTGGAACACAGGCCTTCCCGTTTCTGGCAGCTTTATAAAGATTGTCAGCAAGTGTGCCGCTAGACATGTAGTCGTATACAAGGATCATCTCCTTGCGTTCATTGCAGTATCCTATCAAAGAGACGAGATGTATGTGGCGGAGCTTGGAAAGTGTTTCAACTTCTGCCCAAAACTCACGAGCCCCTTGCCTGGAATTTGGATTCAACCTCTTTATGGCAACAGTCTTTGAAATGCCAGGAATGGATCCTTTGTATACACTACCAAATCCCCCCTTTCCAATAAAAAATGCATCGCTAAAGTTTTGGGTTACTGCCGTGATCTCAGCAAGTGAAAATTGACGACAAGATGATTCATCTTGGGCTGACAGACTGTTTTTCTCTTCAATGAAGCTCTGTTCCCAACTTTCCTTCAAGTTATAGAGTATTATGCTTAGCAAGATAATTATGATTGTCATACCTGTTGAAACAGCAGTGCTCTGGCCAAAAGCTGAGAACAAGTTTGGAATCTTCAGGTTCCAAATTTTGGACGCTCGTCTGGGAAATAAAGGATTTGGAGTCGCAAGACTGTTGTCAGGATTGCTCAACTTGAAGACCTCTAGTCCATTAAGGAGTCCAAAAACCAACTCATCCACTGATTGTAGGGAAATCAAGAGATCATAATTCCTGACTTCTTTCTCTCCTTTCACCATCACCAAATAGTCCCTGTATACTGGGATCTCAGTGCCGCCACTCCATCTGATCCAGTTAGCCTTATTCTCAGCTACGTGATTATTTATGTGGATGGTGAATTCCCTTTGCCTGCTTTCTGCCATACCAGCATCGAAGTCGCAGAAATGAAGCCTGACTAAGTATCCAAAGCCTAGATCTATAGGTATTTTCCATGTAAACTTGTAAATCTCATTTCCTCTTAAACATCTTCCAATTTTCCAAGCAGTGTGGTAAAGCCTTGGTGGAGGAACAAATGCTGGCATGTTTGTGTACTTAATCCTGTTAGTCAGATGACTCACTCGATGAACTCCGGATTCCTGCAAGTATTTAGAATCCTCACTCCATCTTCGAAACATGCCAAAATCTTCTATTGGTGAGATAGAGCCCCCTCCAATATTCAACCTTTGAACCACTTCAAGTGCAGTGCTGTTTTCGATAATATAGAACCGATTGTTCAGACCAACCATGCGGGCACCTAACTCACCATCAGACGTGTAATAGAGACCGGCCGGTATGGAAATGATCTCAATTCCATTGACGAAAGCATGCACTTTCTTTAACTTGCTGCTCTTAGAGGGAGAGAACGTTATGTTCAATTTTGCATTTACTTCTACATTCAAACAAAATTCCTTGACAATATATTTTTCACCAGAACCATCAGCAGTAAGTGAAGCACTGAAGTCCCTTAGGAGGGTGAAAGGACCAGCTTTTACAGTGAAAAAGTCCAGAGAATTTTCAAAACCTCGGTAAGAAGCAGGGTAAAAGTGCAGGCGCAAGAATATCTGACCTGGGGTGACCCGAAAGGTGTACTGGAATGGAGTTGCAGAAATTCTTGAAGTTCTGTACGGAACACGGTCGACGGAGGATAATTTGTCAGCAGCAATTGAGCTCCTTGTTTTGCCTCTTGGTTGCAGTGAAGACATCAAGTCTGAGCCTGTATCTCCGATCCATTCACGCCCATCAAGTGCCGTTGAGTTGCCAATAGAGCCAC